TTTTAGTTATAGAAATTAATAGGCCATAACTTGTCAAGTTATGATCCATAACCAGATAAATTATGGACAAACTTGTCAAGTTATAGTTCATAATCAGATAAGTTATGGACAAACTTGTCAAGTTATGATTCATAACCAGATAAGTTATGGACAATAACTTGTCAAGTTATGGTTCATAACCAAACAAGTTATGGACGAAAACAGTAATTTGGCCTATTTATTAACTTATGTAAACTATTAGCCTATTAATTTTAATTCATCTCAAGTCTTGACTTATTTCTCTCTTTCTCCCTAAATAAAATGATAGAAAAAGTGACGCTACGATTGGTTTTTATACGGCCCATGTACGCTTCACTTTCTAGGACCAAAGATACATATTGGTTTGTCAGGCTTTCGTTTCTCAATTACCGCTAGTTTTCGCTGTTTGCGCTTACAGGATCTGCTTAAACAAATTAGAGGTCCAACACCAAGATCAACATATTAGGCCCAATCTCCATTTGGGTACGCGTTTAGAAGAGGTCATATAGAATAGAAGCACATTTTTAGCACAATGACCTCTTCTAATTCTTCCCGATTCCGAACTACTAATTTAATCAAAAGATGTTTCTCTATATCGGGAACTTCTTAAAGGTAAGAATATCGTTTTGATATTAGTGGAATGCTTTATCTCAAGCATTTCATGGAATATGAGCGTAGTGAGAAAAAGAATGCATACTAGATTAATTAAGTTCTGATTGTTTTATCCCACCGTCTGATATTGTTTCTTAAGGATACAAAACCACATAATGTGAATTATGTTAAAAATTAGATGCCCTAATTCTACATTATTGAAAGCAATAAAATCACAAAAAGAAGAAATCTATAAAAAAAAAAAAAATGGTGAAAAATAAATTTATAAAAAAAGGTCGATCTACAAAATTATCAAGACACAATTAACTCCACAACTTGACAAATCAGATAAGAAATCTTAGCAAACTAACCGTGAAGGCATGCAAACCAATCTCAACGAAGGGTTATGACGATTAAGCGGGTTCTACTTTTCTTTAAATGCCTCACAATATGACACAGAATATAATCTGTTTAAGATATGAAAGACCTTTTTAAGATTTTGTTCTTAATTTCAAACTAATTAGGATGCTTTATTTTTCTAACCAGTCTCAAGCGAATCTAACCTGATTATTAATGTTGTTAATTATTCCGTTGACACTTTTTATATGTTAAAACGCAAAAGTTGAAAAGGCTAACAATATATATAGGCAGGAAAACCAAAGTTAATTATTAATAGTTCGCTTTTTATTAAGTTGGGGAGGAATCAATATTGTAAGTTTGCTCATATATGCAAATAAACTATAGCCCTTAACGTTTGGGGGAAATAGTTTTGGAAGTAATTTTGTAAAGAATTAACCATTTAGGAAGAATACAGGAATCTAACGACAGTACGCCAGCGTGATAAGTTAGCAAGACTCCAAGATCTATTTTCATTTATAAAAATGTCTTTAGCAAAGCTAAAAGCTGGGTAAAAGTGCCAAAGCAATGGAAGAATAAGTTATTTCTTCTTCGGTTCGCTAATTCGAGTTAAGATATTATGTTGTATACGAGTTTTTTACTATAGTAAAAAAGTTAAATGTGACTGTTTCTAAAAGCTTTTTACTGTAACAAAACTCGAATCAGCGAAAAGAATGAGACCTATTTTTCTTCTTTCTAATATAAAAAATATGGCAAGAGTATAAATTATAAGGAGTTCACGTTGGGAGAGTAATTCAAAAACAGTCTGGTGCTTCTAAATTAAAAGAAATTGGAATTCTCATTTCAAAGAATATATGTGTTGGTTTCTTTCTTCTTTCATTGAGGTGGGGAAATTCAAACTTAAAACGTAAACAATAAAAGATGGGAACGTAGATTTACCAGAAAACTTGTGATTACCACGTCGTATGCTAAAAATGATTTCGAGTTAAAACACACAATAATATATAGAATATCCTCTTCACAAAACGACAATTTACGGAGTACCACAATAGAGCGATAAATTTGTTCAAAGAATAGAGGTCGTCATGCAATTAGTAATAAGGTATTAATATTAATTTTCTGTGAAACTATCGTATCCGACCTTAGCTCAGTTGGTAGAGCGGAGGACTGTAGTTGCTAAGCAGGTAATCCTTAGGTCGCTGGTTCGAATCCGGCAGGTCGGAAAATTTTTTTCACTTATTTTTTATGTTTTCCTTTTAATTTTACATAAGCTCTCTCTCTCCCTCTCCCGTTAAATAGGAACCTACTATCTTATTTCTCTTTTGACATTCTTGTATTCATCTAATTTTATTTGAAAAATGACCATTTCTTGTCATTTGAGAATGACCTGGGCTTTTAGATGCACATAAACTAATTATGTGTATATACGACTTCTAATGGAGTTTTCCTTGCCAAAAAACAAAAAATTGTGAAGGCGGATTTTTCTTTCAAATTCCCTCAACTTATGTATTTTCTGCTTATAGATGGATAAAACAATATTAAAAAAAAAAAAACCAAGAATAGACGTTTTTGGCACACCAGTTTTGACCTACAACAACATTCTCGTCGTGCTAATTCAAGGGGTAAAAACACTCACAAACACATTAGATATTGTTTAGGAGATAATGGGGCATAAAACAAATATTTGACCAGCATAAAAAAAGAAGATTCATCTTGCCTGTAGTCTAAAGAAATTCCATAATTAGGTATTTTACCAAATTCCTATTTACATTCCCTTCTTTCCACGAAATACGACAACTATATCTAGAATAAGATAATTCTTTGTCAAGGTCTAAAAAACTACTCTAGAGGTAGGATAGACAACTTTAAAATGCGATTTTCATTCAATTTTATTAAATCATTACAACTTTAATTTAATCTAAATGATTTTACTTTGATCTCATAACTAAAATCTATTTAATTTGATATAATAATAAGAAACTGTATTTACTTATAAAGTTTGGAAGCTTTTTTGATAGACTAATAAAATGAAATACTGATAATTTTTTTAAATTTGTATTAAACAATGTCTGTTTTATATATATTTTTTAATTTAATGTGATTTTAATTAAATATTATGGTTAAAAATTAATACTATATATAAGATTGTCTGACTAAAAAACTCTCAGTAGACTCTCTTACTGAAGAAACTCTCATAAAATTTTTCTATCTTAGTGCTGAATTCTCTATTGAATAAATATGCAACCTCAAACTTATAGAGAGACGGTGATCATTTCCATTTCCATAACGAAAAATCAAGAATCATTAGGCAAGTAGGCTACTAGCCATCCGCACATGGACAAGCAATATAGCCACGCAAGTCAACAATTCAATTTTCATAATACAATGACATAACTCTAATTATAATTGATTTTTTGTCTTCTTATTTTTGGTCAAGATCTTGATTGGAAACTTCCATCACCTGTGAAACTCCAAATAATGTTTTATCGGAAAAAAAAAAAAGAAAATTAGAGCTTATTACACTGATACTCTTATATTTTACTAAAATAATAGATACCCCTTAATCGAAACTAATCAGATTAACACTTCTCGACTTTTCATCAAAATTATACAGACACTCTCTTTATTAGTTGACCGTGAATTGATTGTCAATTTTAACCATTAGATTTTTTAAAATGTCAAAGATGTCCCTCTATTTATCAGAAAATATTTATAAGTTGTACATAATATTTGAAAGATGTTTTTACTCTTATTTAGCATCAAAAAATGTGTTTATTTAATTTTTACACACTTATAACCATAATTATTACTCCAATAAAAAGATATATATTTTTTATTTTTTTTCCTAAAAATCCTTTATTTTAATAACGTTCTCCATCCACTAAACTAGCATATTAAATTAAAAACCATTTGATACAAAATATTAAATGCATTAATATTTTTTAACATATTTTTACGTTAACTCTTTAAAAATATTACAACAGAAAAATAAAATAAAAAGGAATCAAAGCAAATTTAATGTAGAGATAATTTTGACATTTTTCACTAAAAGTTAACAAAATTTAAATAGATTTATTACTATTATTAGATTCGATCAAGGAGTGTTATTGTAATTTTAAAGTGCGTTTGGTAGATGGACCGAGAATTATGATTATGGATCCTAGTTCAGAATCAGTATTTATTTACAGTGATTCTGAATCAGTGTTTAGTTTGGACGATTCTAAATCATGATTCAAAATCTGATGTGATATTTTAAACTAACTCAAATCATGATTTTAAAACACCCACCTCTTATTTTAAAATCATGATTTAAACCTAAAATTATAATTTATAATTTTAATTCTAATATCATAATTAAAATTACCTTAATTTAAATTTTCATACTAAACAAATCCTTTAAAATAATTCATGATTCTAGTTCTAAAATAATTTCATACCACAATAAAAAAAAAAAACACCAAAAAAAGGATGATCAAGAAATAGTGCTGTTAGTGTGAGCTTAGGACAATTCTCATATCCGTGACCGCTGACACCCTACCACCGACCCCAATTTTATATTTATTTGAAACATACATAAAGCTATGAGCACCTCTCTGACACACCGCGGCTGGCATCTTGCCTCTATTAATACCTGTCTTACTGTCTTGTCCCCTCTCTCTGACATCTTCTATGTCCCACTTCCCCATTCCCCCTAATCTCTTTTCATCCAAAAAGTCTCAGCTTTTCCAAACTGCTAAACTAATCACCCCACACCGTTTAGTTCGTTAAGTGCGAATTTTTTATTTTTATTATAATAAAAAATTAAATATAATTATTTTTTGAAAAAATGTTATTATAACAAAATTTAAGTTTTAAACTAAAACATGTCAATTATAATTCTGCCCCTTTTCCAAAATTGCCTTTTCATTAGAACTATCACAGGGAAAAAAAGAAAAAAAAAAAAAAAAAACTTTATTTTCGTACTAGTCCATTCAACAAGGGATTATTTTGTATGACAAATTTATTAGCCGGTTCAAAAAAAATACATATGTATGTACAATAACGTTGACGGGTTATTATATACTTGTTTATCTTATACACGAACCGGCTATTGTACACTCCGCAGGAACCCATTATTTTCTCCTCTTTTTTTTTTTTTTTTTTTTTCCCAAAGGCCAAAACTGTTCTCCCACACATAGTGCTGTTATGTACCTATGTATGATTATATTCGTCACAAAGACACCGAAAAAGCATCCAACCACAGAATGCCGACTCAGCATAGGGCTCACATGTCAATGCCAAAATCCCGAAACCTCTTTAAATGGCTGCTCCCCCGGTCCCACCAGTCCCCGCTATAAAAATTCTGTCTCTGACGTAGACGAGAAGTCCAAGAAAACCCAGCTGTCCTCCACTACAGTTTGCATGCAAACAAACAAGAAACCCATCCTCGCCGTTCAAAGCACCTCATTGGCTGCAATGTAGAACCCACTAAAGACAACCTACGTGGCGGATACTCATTGGCTGGAAGCCATCGAGCGGCGGTAGGATCGGTCCAGCTTGTTGGCTAGAGCTGAAAGGACCTGCCATGTGGCGTCCCCTTGTTCGATCTGATTGTTAAAAAGTAGGGCCCGCCTAACGGTGGGGTCCATGAGGTTCTTTTGTATGGCAGTGAGATTGGTCGACGCCACGTGTTCCATAATCATTCCCAACTTTCCAACGTCCCTTTCCGCCACCGTTAGGGATATCTCCGCCCACCGCACCGCCTCCGGGAAGGGCAACCGGATGTCGTCCGCGATTATGACCGGCACGCACCCCAAAACCACGGACTCCACCAGCCTCGGGCTCCACGGAGCCCACCCAAGCGGGCACAAACAGAACACTGACCGTACAATCTCTGACTGGTAACCGGCAAACCTATGCCTTTGCAGGTAAAACCTCCCGTCTCCGCCGTATTTCCTCCATATCGCCGTCCTCACCCGCCTAAAGGGGTAGCAAACACAAATACGAAAATAATCAGGGGCTTTTCAGCAAATCATTAATAAAATAAAATAAAAAAGATTTTGATTAAGAATGAGATAAAAATAATGATTTACTTACTTGCTGTAAAACCGGCCACTAACATTCTTCGGGTGGACCTCCATTTTCCCACGGAAGAAGGCAAAAATGTCTCGCCCGCCGTTCGCCGGAGCTCTCTGCAGCGTTGTACGTACGCTCTCCGGCGACACGTACGGCGGTATCACAACATTCTCAACGTCTTGACATGGGTGTTTGCCTTTGACCCCGAACGTCTGCAATATTATTGACTTCTTCAAAAACCCCGGTATTCCATCCGCAATCGCCACGTTCTCCTACAAAAGCAAGGAAAAATAACAGAACAGAAAATTTTAAGAAACGTTAAAAAGCCATGAATGAATTAAATGAAAATCTGTAGTTGTGCGAACCATGGTGTGGAAGCAAGCGCCGAAGTCGTGAGAAGCGACGAAGACGTGGTCGGAGCCGAGGGTGCGGTTCCAGAAAGGGTATTCGGAGGAGATGAGGTTGACGGCGGAGGATAACAGAGAGCGGGCGTGGCCGATGGCGGGGAAGCCATTGACGGTGCTGAAGTTGCAGGAGACGTAGATGGGGACGAAGAATAAGTCGGCCTCGTAAGGGTCAAACGTCCGTACGTCGCTGGTCAACAGGGCTCTGTGTATGGCCACCTCCGACGCGAACAAGTGGTTGCTACACCTCTCGTTGTTGAGCCAGTCCGTGTTGTATTTGGGTGGCAAATCGTATACGTATATCTTCAAGTCTTTTAACGACGACAACAACCCTGTAAACCAGAAAAAAAAGCAAAAAAGAAACGGTCAAAGAAAAAAAGAAGAAAAAAAGAAGAAAAAAATTAAGCAGGAAAGGAAGAAACTTGTATGACCTTGTTGATCGTGGGTTTGTTGGAGAATATGGGATTGAGAATCGGAGCCGGTGAATTCAATGAGTGCGCGAGAAGAGGCGGAAACGACACGCGTTTTGGAAAGAAAGGTGGGATTTTTGTTGTCGTTGGTGTTGGTGTTTGTGGTGGTGGTGATGAGATAGGGGCTGAAGAAGTAAAGAGTCAAAGAAAGCCAAAGAAGCCATTTGTAGTATCTGAAAAAGCAAGACTTTTCATGGGGTCTTCCATGCTTGTGCTGCAAAAGCTTCATCCTCACATAGAAACCCCTGTTCTTTTGGGTCCTTTTTATCTGCTGCTGTGGCGGCTCCATTACAACCGTCTCTTCATCTCATTTAAACCCAACAAAGATTGAATCTTTATCCAACAATACTAGGGAGAAATTAAAGATAAAATAAATTTTTCTGGTTTTGAAGTATTACAGTAGTTGAGGAAGGCCTTTCGGTTTTTGGTAAGGGAAGAAGTGGAAACGAAGGAACAGTGATTGGATTATGAGATATGTGCGGTGTTTGTTGGCGTTTCGTTTTTGCAACAAAATATTGAAAAAAAAAACTCTAATACAAGAAAAATGAATGAAGATCAGCAATTTGGAGTTGGACCAATATTTTGTTTAATTAAATATATCTGACCATCTTGGCAAACGGGTATGGTTAAGTTTTGGTTCATTTACGGTGGAATATAGAATTTAAAAAGAAGAAGAAGAAAAAAAAAAAGAATATAATTTTTCAAATTGAAGTACAGTTTGGAGAGAGAGAGGAGAGAGATGGATTTTCAGGGTGTCACGTGATGATGGAGCAGTATGGACCGCGGCTAAGGTCTCGGTTCCTATGCTTCTCTTGATCCTTGTTGGCGTCTTTTGAGAATTTCTGACCAAATTAGATGACGAAATTACCCTTACTGATTTGGTCCATGTGAGTCATTTTGGAAGTCCATTTCCGTAAAATGGCTGTACTTAATCTCGTAATTTCCGATAAGCTGGTTGTTAAAACACCTTTTCCAAGATTGTCTCATCTCTTTGTTGCGACATTTGTATAGCAAAGCAGTGAAAGACAGCTGCGGATTCAGCGGATGATATTGACCGTAGATTTTGTTTGATGCACGGTCCAGATCTTTCAAATGTAGAGGTTGGCTTTAAATACTCATATTTGATTTTGATGGAGATGGAAAATTGGTGATTCCATTTACATGTTCACTGGAATTTAACAAAGTGGGGATAAGATATTAAATTCTGAAAAGTCGAACAACATAGCACATGACATGACCATAGAGTAAAAAGGAAAAAAAAATTAGAAAATAATTGTACAATGTACACTCATAAAGGCCCTTTTAATGCACGTCAATAATGCTGAGTAAAGTTTTTTGGTGAATAATGTGAATAGTTACAAATCCTAGGAAAAAAGCAAGAGACCGCAAGTGTGCAAAGATTTCTTCAATTTTATTTCAAGTGGTTTTGTCTTAGTAATGGCTTTGTTGAAAAAATCAACTCTCTCTATTATCATCTGAATTATCTTCATCAAATTAATAGTTTCAATATTATATGAGCCAATAAGTGACACATGTTTAGTTCTCGATATCATCTAAGTCATAAATTTGAGTTCGTCCACCTCTAGAATCACATGCCAAACAATATAAATAGTAATAATAATAATAATAAGCTTTATACATCGATCCTAGTCTACATTTCAAAACATTAACAGCTTGTAGGCCTCATTCATTTTGTCGATTCGAGTTTAGAATTCGAATTTTGCTACAGTAAAAAGTTCTCATAAACAGTCACATCTAACTTTTTTGCCACAGTAAAAAGCTCTCACACAAAATCACATCTCAACTCGAATCAGCGAAGTGAACGGACGTGAGTTTAACTTGAGTTGAACTTATAACTTGAGTTTATGTTTGGTTGTATACATTTGAGTTATGGTTTGAGATACGAATCTTTTTGAGTTTGTGTTTGAGTGAGTCAAAACTTGAATTTGTATTTATATAGTATTTTAATAAAAACTCAATGCTGATGAAAAATTTTAATAGGGTATATGGGTCGGGTTTTATTCGTCTTTTCGTTGTCAACGCATAGAAAAAAAAACATCTCAGTCAGAATTAAAACGAAAAAATTATAGCATTTTTAAGAATAGAAAAAATATTGTTCATTAATTTGAGTTCGAGTTTCTGAACTCGAGTTGAAGAGAAAACTTGAACTCTAGTTTTAGTTCTAAACTCGAGTTTGAACTCGAATTTAAACTCGAATTTAAACTTAAAAGAACATGAACTCGAATAAAGTTGTAACTCGAGTTATCTTTTTTGAGTTTTTCATTCAAAAGAACGAGCCCTAAATTTCGTCAAAATTACATAAAAATGCAAAATTAGCAGAATTTGATGTAAAATTCTCAAAAAAAATAAAAATTGATCCTGAACATATCTTGATTTTTTTTTAATCACACAAAATTAGTTTGTATTGAACTATTTGAATGATTTTAGGATTCAGTAAAAATAGCTTGCTTAATATAGAGATGGCACCAAAAGGATAAAGCTAAATTAGTCGCCCATTAATGGCCAAGCATGTAATGTAATCCAAAAGTGAGCAAATCTGATATCGTTGCGATTATAATCACAAACAAAAAATGTAAAAATGAAAAAGGTAAGTCCGATTATAATATCGCACCAAGTGGTAATTGATAGAGCTATGCAGACCATACAAATATTCCCCCCTAGCCACGACTAGAAAACTGATAATGAGAGAGAGAGAGAGAGAGAGAGAGAATACCTTGGCAATTGACCGTGTAGACTTATAAAGTCTCGTACACGGCAAGATTTTGTTTGGTTTTGTGTAGCATCAAACAGGGTAATGATAACAAACGGATTAGAATTTTCTTTCTGCTTTCGGTTTTAATTATCTATGTTTGGTAGTTACACTAAGGAAGCTAAAATATAATAATAAAACACAACTTGATTTGTTCATTAACCATTAATTTTTATATTTACGATGTGAAAACACTAATCACACTCACCCACTATCAAAATGAATTAAAATCTTTATCCAAGCTATATAATAATAATATACAACTAAATGCTTACTCATCCAAACAGTGTTACAATCCTGTTTAGTAATAGTTAGTTTTTGTCCTTTCAAAAAAAAAAAAGTTTTTGTTATTTCTTTTGGAGTGATTAGGTCGAAAACCTAACTTACTTAAACATTTTTGCATTGGACGATTAATTGTTATTAATATTAGTTATACAAAAAGGTAGGGTCAAAACTCAAAAGAGCTAGTGAGTGGTCCATATCTAAATGCAGGATAGTAAAATTAAAGAGATATTTAGTTCATGAATTAAAATCACGTGATTATAATTATTTTTAATTTACGTGTATTTTTTATAAAAAAAATACTGTAATAAATTATAATTTAAATCATAATTTGAATTCTCAAATTAAATATCTCCTGAAAGTCAATTGTGGGGTCGAGTATTTGCACCAAATAAGACGTCATTAGAAGAATATTAATGTGGACGATGTAATCCAATAAGCATTTTATTTATGATTATATCATTTGATTTTTTTGGTTACTTGTGTGGGCAGCTAACCAGCCAACTATGGTATAATCGAGTCTCTTTTTCACGCGTCTCTATCATTCAACATTTCTGCGTCATTAGAACATACGTGTGGTTTGAGCATTGGGTCTGCTCGGTGGAGTTTAGCAAATAATTATTAAAAAAACAAAAAAAAGGTGAAAATTACACTTTCCTATTAATATAAGATTTTTTTTTCTTTGTTTGTTTTTTTCTTTCTACAATCATATTTATTATTAATTAGGTTTGGGTGAGTGATTATCTGTTTTTCTACCTTTATTAACGAAGCAAGGGCTGGCTGAAATATATCTAACAAGTGGAGCATATTTAATTAGCAAAAATTAGTATTTTTTAACACATGATTATATTTTAAGATTTAGAGTTTCAATTTTTTTAAACAAATTATTACTATATTTTGACTATATGGTTAATCCTTTCGGGTGTCTTGTTTACAATATGAAGTTGATACATTGCTATCAACTGTGCCGTAGTGGATATTTCTGGACAAAACTAGGCAAGTAATGACGTAAATGTTACTAAATTACACACAGGACAAAAATTATTTTGTAAGAAGTTCTATAAGCGACTATATGTTTTAATTTCTCTTATAACTTGTTTGATCTGATATATATATATATATATTTTTGTGTGTGAAGGGATTTGATCTGATATTATAAATTATACACGAATCACAACTCAACCATTTTATTAAAAAATCTAAAAATTTTAAAAATCACGTTGAGATTTTTTTTTTAATAAAAAAAGAGAACTATTTTTTTCCCCTAGAAAAAAAAAAAAAACAGAGCGAGCTTGGGCAGAGTCTTTCCCATCAAAGATCTCTATGCAATGATTCTCTTTTGGTCATGATCATTTCCAACTTTTCAATTGAGAGGCAAGCTTTCCTAATGGTTAGGGTGCTGTCCCTGAGGTGGATACTTGAAATTGAATCTGAACTTAAGCCAAAAGGTGAATTCAATAATTTTTGTGGCCCACACTTTACTTTTCAAACACTTCATTATAATTTAGATTTATCTCAAAAATAATTTTTGAAATTTACCTCGCATCATATATTTGTAGTTCCTGATACTTGGAAGCATTTTAAGCTGAAATCAATTTATCTTAGTGTGGTAACATTGTCCTTTTTGTTACACATGTATTACTATCTACACGGAATAAATCATGTGCTACTAATGTGACTTTTCAATGACTAAAATAGACATTTTTATGACATTAAGAGCGGGATTAACTAGTTGAAGAAAGGGTTTTGTATGATGTTTATATTTTGTTCTTGGTATATTTCGTCTGACTTTTTCTCTTATGATATGTTATAATGTTTGATAGGTCTTAAAAAGCATTTGCAATCCACTTCGACAATTCAACCAGCTTTACACACACGACTTCTATGTTGTTTTCCTCATTTTTTAAGAAATAATGGCCGTGTTTAGAATTGATTTCATTTTTATTTTTCACATTTTTTGAGAAATAAAAAATAAAAACGTTTTTAAAACTGCGTTTAGTGCAATAAAGACAAAAAAAAGAAATGAAAATGATTTGTTGGTTTAGTATAAAATAAGAGAGAAATGAAAAACGTCTTTAAGTCGTTTTTCATTTTTTGTTTTCGTTTCTTCTCTCTCGAGTAGAGAGAAATAGATAGAGATATTAATGAGTTTTTTTATACCGAAAACAATCTCTTGATAAAATTACCAAACGTATTTTCAAAACTAATTTGTGTATAAGATTGAAAACGTTTTCATTTTTATAAAAAAAACAAAATCATTTTGGAACGAGTTCCAAATCCGTCCAATCAGTTAACAAAAAGACTAATTTTATCAACACCAAGATAAATAAGGGTGTCAATTTTTATGTAATTTAGGCTTTGTGGATCATAGTGGGATTTAGTGTAAAATTAGACATTTATTTGCTCTTATAGTTTTTCTTGATTTTATAGATTGATCTCTCACAATACGCTGTGAGATTTTGGTTGGACAAAGTCAGTTATAGTTTGATCATGGGTTAAATAATGAAACTATGCTTGAAGTTGGATTTGGGTATGATTACTGCATGGGTCGCCTATCTGGTCATAATTATGCACTAATGATACTTTTATCTGCAAGATATTTGAATAGATGAAAAGTCCTTTGCATTTATCCATAGCTACAATTAAAAGTAACAAACTCATTCAAGTTTTGGTGTGTTACTCCAATCCATTTTAATTTAACTGTGGTTCAGGTTGTTTTATGAATTTAAGATCTTAAACGTTTTCTTTATGAGAATAAAAAAAAAAATTTAAACGTTAACATATGAAGAAGATGAGATTAGTAATTTCTTTAATGACATTTTGTTTTATGATATAAGAAAATATCATATATCGATAAGGCACAATTTTAAATTGCTTAATCATGTCATATAAAATTAAAAAAGTATTACAATTCATACAAAAAAAAAGTATTACAGTTTAACAAAACTCGATAAAAATATGATAATTTTAAAAATATTCTCCCTTTTTTTCTTTCATATCATATTACATAATTTTCACGATCATTTTCTCTCTTACCAAACACATATTTAAGGTCGAATTTGATGATCGGTGAAATAAAAGGGAAGGAGCAAAATGTCCATCTCCAAAAGTTGTTACAAGACGAGAATGAGACCCATCTGCCCATACTGTCCCATCTCCCTCCCAAACAACAAATATCCTTCAAAATGATTAGGAAAAGGGCTTTTTCACAAATGTGACCATCTTTTTGTATGGCTTTGACACATAAAGGGGCATGGGTCATTAATGGAGTGAGGGTACCAATAATATATTGTGGTTTTGGGATACCTCACTCGTTATACGTTACTCAGAAAGACACAAACCGCCACAAATGATTGATACAAAGATTAGAGAAAAGTTGTTGCCTGGTCTTCTTTCACACTTTGGACTGTATTGCATTCTTCCTCGCCAATGAAACTTCTTCAATACTTTCAATAGAGATATGTACCGTTTATAATTGTTTCTTAACAGGTTAGATTTTATACATTTTTTTTTCTTTCATTTTCTGTTGAATTAATAGGGTAAACAAAAAATTTTATTGTTGTAATAATAGTCTTTAATCGTAAATTTCTATCAAATTTTATTAAAATTATAGGTCTTGTTCATTTCACCGATTCAAATTTTGCTACAGTAAAAAGTTCTCATAAACATTCATATCTAACTTTTTTACTACAGTAAAAGGCTCCCACATAAAATCACATTTCAACTCGAATTAGTGAACTAAACGGGCCGGTAATATCCTTTTGCATTTGACGAGTCCTTATATAATCTTATAATCCAAAACTTCCCAATACCAACGAGTACCTTTTTGTTGAAATTTGAATCAACTGTATTTAGTATCATGAAATTTGTGTGTATTATTGTGTTGCAAACCTAGTGTAGAAACGAAGTAAGGAATAGAGGTGGTTGCATCTGGTTAGTGTTACAAGCGCATTGTGACAACGATCGTAGCTTACCTTTAAAGACAAGCGAAAAGAGATAAACACACCAAAATCAAATTTAGGATGAATAATTACTTTATGAGAAACAATTTATTTGTTGAATTATTACTTTATTTAATGTAACAAGATCACGTGTTTCTAACATTAATTTCATTAATGCATTAAAAAACATTAATTTCATTAATGCATTAAAAAACATTAATTTCATTAATTTTGATTAAATTTAATTATATATTTGATCCTGATATTATTTTCACGTGATATGGAGACTAAAGTAGAGAATAATATAAAGTATGCTTTTAGAGACCCCAACATTTATTGCCGTTTGTCCTATGCTTTTATGTCAACATGCATTATGCATATTTTCTTATTTGAGATAAAATCATTTTGATACAATATATTATTAGTATTATGTGTTTTTAATAATATTAAATAGGTACCTCAAGTTTCAAAAAACATTTTTAAGTATCCTAAGGTCATTTTTTAAGACAAAAAATGTCTAAAGTGCTATTATATTAAATGAATCAAAATTTAATTTTTAAAAATATTTTTAAAACATTTTTTGACGGATAAAAATATATTTTTAAGATAAATATTTATTGGCCCAGACAAGGTTCGATAACAGGTTGCGTCGCTAGGTCGGGCAACGAGGATGGGGGAGTGGATGAACAGGGGCGGTAAGCAAGAGCCATGGCGGGTGGTGGGGTTGTTTCCTCAATCCCAGATTTTGATTTTTAGCAAACCAGATCTTATTATTATTATTTTTTAAGGACAAATCTGATGTTAGTTTAAATGCTCAAAATAATATTTATCTTAAAAAAATATTTTTACTACTCAAAAAATGTTTTAAAACTATTTTTAAAATTTTTTTAAGTTAAAATTTAACTAATTTAATAGAAGAGTAATCTAGACATTTTATGTCTCAAAAAAACGACTTTAGAGTATTAAAAAGATATTTTTTTTTAAACTTGAAGGTACCTATTTAATATTATTAAAGATACATGTTACTAAATGTATATTTTGTTATAATACAGAGTATCAAAATAATTTTATTTATTCTTATTTTCTTCCTACATAATTCACAAAGCAGGGTGACCCATTCATTTGCTTTTCCAACGAAAAAGGCAATGGATTAATAAAGTAAGAAGTTGTTTGGTTGGAGGATTTGTGTCCTGATTTGAATCATGGTTCATGATTCGCTACAGTGTTTTCTCTCACAAAAAATACACGTAAATCAAAAATAATTTTAATCTCATGATTCTAATCCATAAACCAAACGTCTCCTAAATGTGACCAATAGTTATGACCCTATTATAGTTATTCCTTGGTGCTATCGCCACCTACACTAGAACCACAAGTTCAAACCTGATTTTATTTTGGGTTTGAATCCAATCATCTTAAGCCAAACGTAGACAGCTTTAAGACCAGCAACTGAGTGGTGCTAGCTTCAATTCTAATCCAAAATTTTGCTGATTAACACATACGTATCGAACTGTCACTTTTGCATTGACAGATGCACATAATAATCTGTTAAATACCTGCTAATAAAAGAATAATTCACGCTTCAAGTTAATTAGTACATTAAAATTAAGATTAAGAATGGTGAGCCCATTTGATTGGATGATTCGTTATCTGATTCGAATCATAGTTCATAGTTCGCTATAATATTTTCTCTAAAAAAAACACACGTAAATTGAAAATAGTTTTAATCTATGAACCAAATGGGCTATAACATTACTTAATTAAAAAAAGAAGTATGGAACAGATAGGTCCGTTTGCAATGTTTATATGGATTACATTGATTATTCATTTGCCACATAAGCATTGAACAATCCGGATCATATTCAGCCATCAAAATTGTAGTCACAGAGCATCCACACTTTATTTCTATATTAACATTGTTGTGGGATATGTGCCCTGCCGAGAGGTCATACTCATGCCCCAAAAGAAGACTTTGAACTGGAAAGGTTGAGACATTTTTGGGGCCACTGGTCCTACAAGGTAGAAATACGAGCTGTATAAGCACATGCAAGTCAGAGAAGGCATATGCTGAATTATTGGCGAAAGGTTCCAAAACAAAACGCCCATTTGACATTAGAAACAAAGTTTGAGCCTTGTTCCCGTGTTTTCTTGTATACACGTGACAGGGTACGGATTGGGTTGGAATTTCACTACAACTCATCATATTTCGCTATATTTTAGCTTATTTTTTATTTTTTTTTTCCTGTGCAAGTTATAAAAAATGAGAATTTCTTTAATAGGTCAGTCTTACTGATAGTGTTAGTTTCTGACCGTTAACTCAGGTTAAATCACATCAGATTAAAAAAAACAGAACATGTAATTTTTAATACAGATCTAACAGTTGAAAATAAAGAACCACTGATAATTTATTTTATATGATCTTACTAGTAAAGTTCCATACAAAAATTTACAGATAATTTACACACGCATGCATCCATTATTTATTGTACTGTATTTTTTCCAATTGTGGCGGACTATGAATTTGAATTTGAACGGGGTTGAAGCGTCTCATAGAACCCAACTTTAAGAGGGCAAGCTTGCTCATGCAGACCCAAACGGCCCAATTATTGAGAGACTTACAGATAGATTCTCTCTCTCTTGAGTTATCTTCTGGGCTGTTTGTTTCATTAACTCAGCCCAGTTCAGCCCATTCCAAACATCCCCCTTTTTTGACCGTTGTTGTGTCTATCACTCACAGTTGAGATTCTTCCTTCTTCCTCCATAAATCCCCCTCAACGCTCCCTCTTCTTGAAAGCTTCACCCAAATCGAAAAACCCTAGACCTAATGGCTCGGCTCAACGCTTCCTCTGATTCAAATTGACCCCAAATTAAAAACCCTAGCGTGAAGAGATCAGAGTTCGCTGCCATCAATTGTCCGATTCTTGCTTCTTTTTTACCGTAGCGTCCATCACTGCAACAGTAGAGATTCTCGCCTTTGGTCTCCATAAATCCCCCCCTTAACGCTCTTGTTTTTGCAAGCCTTTCCTTATGTGTCTTGAGTTTCTCTTGTGTGGGAAATTTTGTTCTCTGTTTTTTGGTCTTTAGGCTATTTTCACCTCTTTGATATTTGAACTTTTTTCCCACGGCTGCAAAGCGTCCTCGACTTGCCCAAATTTTGCGTCGTTGTAGTGGTCCAGTCCAATCGTCGAGTTCGGTTCAAGAGCACAAATATTTGTCGTTGCCGCCGCGGTGATCTCAGGTCGGTAAATGCAACTCAGTCAGGTTGTCTTCTCAAAGAATCCACCTGCTCATCGACGGGCTCGAACACAACGGTAAGCTTCTATTACCCCATTACTTTTGACATATGATATGTGGTTGTATTCTTGGATGAATGGTGGTTGTGAATGTGGATGCGTGGCTGTCGTTTTCGAATACTGGGTGACCGTCTTAGTTGTCATTTTAGATTTCCTCCGTGTGTGCATGCTGTCGTTTTTGAGTAAGCCTCTGTTTGCATGTTGTCGTTTTTGGAATACTAATTTTTGTTCTTGAGTAACGGACTTTTGGACCCTCTTATTTTGTAGTTGTTGTCGTCGTTTGCTTAATAATCTTTCTCCATGTACTGATATGTTGTTGCCTTGTTGGTTGTATTTTATTTTTTTATTTTTTTGATAGACGTTAAGCTAATCTATAACTGATACTACAATTTGATCTGAGTATCGGGCTTTGGCTGTGATGAAACAAAAAAAAAAAAAGCCGAAAGACACATTTGTTGTCGTGTTATACTTGTTATGTGGTACTTTATGTTTGCCGATTTACTCCCTGATGTATAGCACATGCTAATATTTTTTGATATGTTGGTTTTTGCTCTCGTTTTTTACCCCCTCTAATGATTGCTTGCTGTCGTTTTAGAATCTCTTAGCATCGAATTAGAGCCTGGGAAGTGACCATGTCGTGTTCGAAGGTGATATCTAGATTCTTGCAGGTTAATCTTATCTTTGATGCTTGGCTTTTGTTTCTGTTTTGTCTTTTTTTTTTCTTGGATAGTTTGTGTTTTTCTTTTATTTGTTTATTTGTTTATTTTGTTTTTTGTTTTGTTTTGGACACACACAACCAAGCAAAGCAAGCCAAGCAGCAGGAAGAACCTAATTACATAAATAAAACCAGACACGTCCCAGCCTTTCATGCAAACAGATAAAAATTAGATGAAAATACCAGAAAACGCTGAACAGAAACAACAGAAGGAGACAAAACACGACAACAAATTAACGTGCGAATCCGACAAGGAAGATTGTCGGTTCATATTTTGCAGGAAAAAATTGAACCCCTAGTCTCTTCTTTGGCTTTGCGCTTAATTTACGTAAATGTGGTGTTTTCATATAAGTTACAAAACACCACGTTATGGCTTTGATTTAAAGGCTTTTAGCCACTCCAAAAAATGAAACAGATATTTCAAACAAATATCTTTCTCTTTAGTAGAATTTGGCATAGATTTAGCGACTTAAAACAACAAATTGTACCTCATATCAACATTAGTTGTTGTCTTGTACTAGGTGCCTCAACTAGTAAAAAGAATGTATAGTTAAATAAGTGGTTAAATAAGTGAGTAACGAATGTTTCGAAATGTAATTGATTAACTTTTTTTAATAATCACAACCGATCACCAATATATCTTTGTTGATATGCTTTTATAATAATCATAACAAATCACAACTATATCTTTCAAGGGTTTGATGAAGTGGTTTTTTTCTTAGTTAACATAACATAAGGGCTAGTCAACCCAATGTGTTAAATTCAAAACTGACCATATATGTGATATTTTAAAACCCAAACCCATTTTAACTCGCCCTACGAACAAGTCATCTTGTGTAGAGGTGTCAATTGGGCTGGGCTGTCCATGGACGGCCCGGCCTAGCCGCTACAGTGCGGGGTTCGGTACGGCCCGGCCTTGTACTGTTAGGGGTTGGGTCGGCCTGACACGTCTACTGGGTTAGGGCTGGGCCTCATTTTTTTGGCCCGCGGCCCAGGCACATGATGGGCCCAACGGTCGAAAATGGCTAGTTCGAGACCCGGCCCGTGATGTGCCCAACGGTTAAATCCGACCCTCATGCTCCAAAACCTTTATAAAAGCCTTATCTCTCTCACAACATTTTCAACTCTTCTACATCACTCTCAACTCCTTTCACTCTCATATTCTCTCTCTGATTCTTCGCTTTTTCTCTCGATTCTTAATTTTCTCTTATTTTTTTCATTTACAAATTTCAATCAAATTGAAGACATCTCAAAAAAAAGTACTCTACTCATTATTTTTATATAATATTTTATTATTTAATGTTTATTTTACATTGTTTATTGTTTGTAAATATTTTTGTTAACATTAATTTTTATTATTTTTTATAAAAAATGGCGGAATCAAATTTTCTTGTTTTTCTTGATTTTGGAGATCAACCATTTTATGAGGATGAAATTTTGATGTACAATTCCAACCCAACTGATGTGGATAATGTTCCGATTGATAATTAATCGGTGCACAACGAGGATATAGGAGAACGTGCAAGGAGAGAAATACCACACACAACTCCTACATGACAACATTACACAGAGGAGCTACGATCAAATTCAAAAACATGTCTACCATTGTAAAAAATACTATTTCAACATATAAGGTGGGGGTGCAGGCCATCCCAATAGACATTGGAAAGCATGTCTACCATTATACCAAGATAGTGTGGACTCCCGCCAACAAACACTTTCACTCACAAATTAAGGTTTATAAAATTTTTCATATGCACAACGTGCTGGTAAGCCACTAGCTAAATTTTTAGCTAGTGTCGGATTACCATTGTTTTTTGCAGATGAAGCATTTTAAGAATTTATTCAGACTGCATTTTGTCTACAATTTAAAAGAGTTAATAGAAACACAACTAGAGTTGATTGCATGAATATTTTTTATGCAATGAGAGAATCACTTGTTGATAATTTTAAGTCTTTTAATGCTATAGTCTCTTGCACATCTGATCTTTGGGAGAGTTGTAATAAAACTGGTTATTTAGGCTTCACGGTTCATTATGTTGACGGAGATTGGGTTTTTTTGCAAAAGCGAATTATTGGTTTTCGTTTATGTTCTTTTTCACATAATGCAAATGCTATTTTTTCTTCTATTATGAAAATTTTTAATTTTTATGGCATTGAAGATAAACTTTTAACCATTACTTTTGATAATGTATTAGCAAACAGAATTACTATTAACATGTTTAAAGTAAATTTGAAATCACCTTTTGGTAGAGAATTTTTCATCAACATTATGCATGTCATATTATAAACTTAGTAGTCCAAGATGGTATTAAAATTATATCCCATAATCTAACTAAAATTAGAAAGGTGTTATCCTTTCATCTCTATTTTGGGACTCGGCTTCTAGAAATAGTCATATGAGGTCAAAAAAGTTTCCAACAGATGTTAGATGATTATCTTTCATAATCATGGGTATGAAAAATGAAAGAAGTGGCCTCATCTAGAAGTTTCCAACAGATGTTAGATGATTATCTTTCATAATCACTTACGAAATTTTAATCGAGACGCATCTCAAATCTTATGGTTTTATCTCGATGCCTTTGATTGCGCTATATGTGATGCGCACATTATGGGATCGCAACTTATGGTTTGCGTTCAAATGTTGATGGTTATTATATCGACAATCTTATGGTTTGCACTATTATGGTTTATGTCATATGCCTATGGTTCTATGAAAGTGTAACCACATTAAGACCTTACGTGCTTGCGACTTGCACCATACTCTTAATGGTTTTCGGCCACGACAAATAGTTTAAGTCCCGTGGGGCAAACAGACGCCATCAAATGGCTTTCTTTGTCTAGACGACTTATAGCTTATCAAGTAGGCACACACGGCTTACGACAACACCTTTTGGTTATTATTACGGATGTTTGGGAATTCTTAATGGCTTGGTGGCCCTATATAAAAAAAAGAAGAATATCCCATTCTATTGGAACATGAAAGGGTAAAGCTCTAAAGAGATGCTCAACACTCGACAAGATCGCGAGAGAAAAGGAAGAAAGATGAAGGGAATAATCTGGTTTGTCACTTCCTCTTGAGGGGATGGGTTGTTTAGAGGAACAACCCTTCCAACTCTCTCTCAATTCCAAGACTGCAACGGATTTTTGAACGGTTCATTCCTATGAGACTAATAACAAACCATACTCAGGAAGGATAGGAGACAGATTACCTCAGTGGCTAGTACCTCCTTTCTGGGAGGAGTGACGATAGGGGAAACGATCGTCTTCCTTACTTTGGGGCTGCAGCAATCCATACTAGGCTAAATACCCTTTGAAATTCTGTGATTATGCGTAATTAAAAAAAAAGTGAAGGGGAAGAGATATGAGAAAAGGAATTACTTGGATATTGGAGGACTCTTCTCCAAGAGAGGAGCTGGCGGGGGTGGCCACTCCTTCATTGCCCACTTGATCTTGGGGATGCTTTAAAAAAGAGGGGAACAGGAAAGGAAGACAAAAGAAACATCTTTTTTTTAAAGCCGAGTAGAAGATCCTGAACGTTAAATTTTTTTTTGAAGCGACAAAAGGACAGCCCAAAACGGAGTGTACTTGGTCGCTTTGCGCATACATGGCCGGGGTAGAAATTGATTTATTAACAGCCCACTTCATGCACAAAAAAAAGAAAAAATAGAGACGATGGAAATGTGTGTATATAACGTACTTAGGAGGCCGCCTTGTTGTTTTGAGGGACGAGCCCGTCAAGAACGGTGGCATTGTCATTTTCTTCAGAATCGCAGCCACCTCCCTTAAGGCCGCCTCTTGAGGTGTCAATGGCCGCTGAGAGGCAGACTTTTACGGATCGACTTCGAAGCCTCAGTCGAAAGTCTTTGTAAGGATCCTTGGGTGGCGTTGAACAAGCTCTCTTCGATCCTGCAGGAGAAAGCGCATCTGCAAGCTTTCGCTTACCCCAACCAGCAGCATGATCGATAATGACAGAGATCCTGCCGGACGTGGGGGCGCTAGTTGACTTTCTAGTGTTGACCGTAGGAACTTCTCCCACAGCAATGGGTCCCTGCCAAAAGAAAAGCAAGGTAGAGCAACCAAATATGCATGTGTTCACTATATACAAAAAAAGAAAGAGAAAAGAGGCTCGCAAGAATTATGACAAACATCGAAAATACAAGACAAAAATGTAAATAAAAAGGTAGAAACGTGGGCAAGACATACCATCGCAGCTGCACCCGTGCAAGAAAGAACCTAACCGGAGGAGGAAGCATCGGTGTCATTCTGTCCACGCGCGTCGTTCGTTGTTCTGGAGCCTGCATCTTGGGCCTTAGCCCTCGAAGTAATGCGGGAGCTCTTACGGCTCAGCGGCATGATCACAACAGTGGGCCTCTTCGTGGGGGGGCCAGACCGAACCTTCGTTGACCATGAAAAAGGAGGTACAATAGGAGGCTTCCACACGCTCTCTTGCACCAGGGAGGAAACTCGCCTACTAGTTGTCCTATTCTTATCAACAATGACCCAGTAAGGAGCATTGTTCCTTATCTCGTATGTCCTAACACATGAATGAGTATAAGGTATGAGCCGCTCAGGCATGACGTCCAATCTCGAAGGAGGATGCTCTAGGTGCCGAGGACCACTGTCAGCTGCGGTAAGGAGTTGGTACACGACATGAAGCCAATATTCAGAGAAAGATATGGTGCTGGTGGCGAGATATCACGCTCTCGACATGACAAGATTACCTTCCCCTAATTAGAGTTGTCAAATGGGCCGGGGCCGTCCATGGACGGCTCGGCCCAGCACATAACTGTGCCAGATTCAGCGCGGCCTGATACGGTTCTGTTACGGGCCCTCCCGACTTGGCACATTTGATGGGCTAGGACTGGGCCATGGCTTCTCAGCCGGCGGCCCAAGCCCGTGAAGGCCCGCGGCCTGGCCTAAGGCCAATTCGGCCCAAGCCTGGATTCGACC